TTATGAGACTGACTGTCCTATTTCTTTGGACCGTATAGTTTGTCCACGCCAGCTGGGTGTTGACCTCTCTGTAGTGCCTCCAGCATCTGTTTCTCTTCCTTAGTGCTCTCCTTATAGCAGGAGACCACCATAGGGGCTTATTGTATTTCATACTGAAATTTTTGAAAATCCTTCCGAACCCATAATGATTTATGGTGCAATAACTTTATCTGTGTTGCTCTTATATTGACATTTCACGATCATGAACACCACACATCATTATTTATCTGTTAACTCTATGCCCGGCACATTTGAATTTTGCGTGGTTTGAGAACGGGAGCGACTGTTTGCCTCTCTCTGGATATCTTATTTGGCTCGCTTGTTTGAGTGCTTTTGGCCGCATATTTGAGGTTTGCTTTATTGTACACATTGTAATAATTTCGTTAATTCAGTAGCGTAGAACATTGCGAATCAATTGTTTTTAATTCGGGATTCGTATCGGTTCGGCCACACGTCACTCAAGTGCGAATTAGTGGACGTACACTTAATATAATCTTTCCCTGTTTTAGGAGATGCAAACTCATCTTGAAGTTCCTGTAGAATACTTTTGATTCTATACCAGAGAGCCTCGACTGTAATCCGATCATTTTCTGCTCCCCATTCTAGAGTTAAGGTTCGTGCCTGCAGGCTACTCGTGTCCGTTCTGCTGAAGTTCCTGATTTTCCGGTCAGGCGCTTTGGATTCCCTTGCATTGAGGGTCACTTTCATCACTAGGTAGTCACTCTTCCCCTTAGGTGGGTGAAAAGAGATGTCTTCTACGTTCTTTTGGTATCCAGTAAACACCAAGTCTAGGAGAGATGGGTTCTGCTCAGTTCTGAATCCGGTGTTTTCCCTCACGTGTTGCAGGAGGGCTCTGGAGTGGATCCATTCCAGGAACTTTTCGTCTGGTGCACCCTTCGAGCAGGTCTCTGTTGTCCACTGGATGACAGGAACGTTGAAGTTCCCAGCAATAACCAGTTTCCGCTGGGACTGTGCTAGTACATCAAGCGCCCCGATTAGTTGCTCATCTTCTTCTATGGTGGCTCCCGGACTTCTGTACACACCGGCTATGCTGGTGCTGTTGGTCCTAGAAAGTGAGATAGCACCCATTTGTATATTGGGAGTGTAGACGTCTGTGTGTATTGATCGATCTGTGAAAATCTTTCCTGTAAAGCCCAGTCATCCCATCTCGGTTCCACATTTCGTGAAATTTACGTTCCATTCACCAAACACCATCCGCCTCGTATACATATAGACATTTGACGTTCCACTCCCTTTGTATATTTACACATCAATCCTACCATTTGACTTTGTTTGTTTATCTGCTTCAATTTTTATGTATATTTCCCATCAATCCCCATTTGACTCTGTTTGTTTATCTGTTCAATTTTTATCCTACTTGGTTTTAATCGGAATCGCGACTTGAGCGCTCACATTTGGCTCGTTCGTGTGCAGCGTGACGGTGAGCGTGCTTATTCCTACCCAGTCTTTTCTTCTATTCAGATTTGTTGAATTACGCTCACAGTAACACTTGACTCTTGTTTTCAAGTTGTTTCGAGATCACTTTGAGGTTTGTACAGTTTTAATTTGCTTATTTGATCGCTTATTAATGCAGTACCGTAGAAATTTGCCGGATCGTTCGTTTTGTTGACGCTTTGGGATCCAATTTCGGCTACGCGTTGCTCGTTAATCTATTCGGGAGTTACACTGTGTCCAATCTCCTGTGGGGAGTTTTTTTGCGAATGAGAAGTGCTACTCCGCCTTCTCCTTGCACCTGTCCCCCTCGATCCTATCTGTGGATTTCAAAGCTGTTTGCAATGGTCTGTGGTATGTGGTGGCCTTCACTTAACCACGTTTCAGAGACAACGTACACTGCAGCTTTGAGTTTCTCAGATGTGACTCCTAGCTCTGCAGACTTATTCCGGATGCTGCTCGCATTAGCGCATAGGATAACTAACTTTTCCGGAATTGGGCATTCTAAGCCCCCTACTTTTTCTTTTGTCTCGGGGGCAGCACCCGAGCTGTGGCCCCGTTTTTTGATGGGTTAGTGTTGGTCATTGTCCTGCGACGTCTAAGTTCGGAGTCCGTTGGTTCTACCATGAACGCCCGCGGCAATGGAGTGGACGTTTGATTAATTTTCTCTTCATCTACACTTACCGACCTGCTCGGCAAGCAGGTCTTCCATTCCTCCTCTTCCATTATATCTTCTATGATCACCACCCCGTTTCTGAAGGGAGTGCTTGTCGATGATGGCGTTCTATGGTTACTCACCCTTCCCTTGGACCCCTGTAGTAATCAG